TTTTACATTCTATTTGGAAGTACTGTAAAGAGTCGAAAACGATGAAGAGTGAGAAGAGAGCAGAAGAAGAGGGAAAAGCTGAGCTAGCAAATGGTTATTGTCGCATATGAGCTTCTTCTGTGTACATTATTATGTATTTCTTTCTTATTGCCATCTGTACTTTCTTCCTAATTCTGTAATACAGGTTACGTGATATCCATTTTCGGGGGGTGGGAGGGAAGAGAGATAGATATAGGCAGATCCTCAAACAAATAAGCCGAGCAGTGCCGAGAAGTGGGACAGAAGGCAATAATAACTAGTACAGATGAGAGGATTACCTTCAGATGTACCGACGGAACAAGATAACACAAGAGAGAATATACTAATTGAGAATGAGGATAAGCAAAAGACACCTTCTAGCTCGTTTTCGGTCTCTCTCTTCTTCTATCATTGCTTTCCTCTCTATCTCACTCTTCATTTGCATAAAAAGAGAGATTAGTTGTGCTTTTCCATCTCAAGAGATAATTATATGAGCATAAAAGGGATATGAATAGATAGCATATGGAAATCACTTTTTTCCGCATTTCCTTCTTCATTAATTTACAAAAATAGGCATTAAGTTAATTAAAGAAACTATTTAACATCGTATAAAGTTTCATTAAAGACTGTTTCCGATTGTGCGCTAATCTTCAAATTACAAGCGAAAGGCTTAAGTATTCAAAAAGTGATATTGTCGGCTGTCCATTTATGGTATGAAAGCTCAAGGAGCTTGCTCTTAAAAGCTAATAAACAAGCATTATTGTAGATTTTAATTGGACTTTAAGCACAGTGCGCTATGATGAAAGTGGCAAATTTGAGGGCATAAAAGGGAAAAGACGGAAACATGACATTCCGGTCTTGCGGGGATTGTGCGGTCAAGATGTTATAACCGCTGACGCGTAGTTGAAGCTGAAAGAGCTTACATGCAGGCTTCCGGCTGTCAGCTGAAACAGCTCAGAGGTAAAGGACAGGCTAAAAAAGAAGATGCGAAGGTGGCTCTCACTAGGGTGAAATACATGGCTGTTTATGGACAAATCGCTGACTTTGAGTGGAGGTGAGCGTTTCCTCGCTCATTCTTCTCATCCTCCTAATACTTCTTCGATCCTCTATCTCTCTCGTCCTCTCCCCTAGTGAAAGGCATGTACTTAAGAGGGAAAATATTGAGAGTAAAGAAAGTTTTCAAAGATTTCAAACTGTTCGACAACAAACTCAAATGAAATGATGATATGTGCGTGAAGAAGACACGGACGACATAATGACCAAACAAATACTTGAAATGGCTGATTGACGACTATAAATATTCGCTTAAGAATAGATAATATTACCATATTTGACACTGATAACTCAGTTTTGGGCTTTTTTCACACTCGGCTACTGTTTATTGACTTCTTGGGAAGATTAGTTATGCTTCTGATTATAATTTACCTTAATGGAGTTCTATAAGTTTCATTGCAAACAAAGGGGATTGGAAGGGATGAGTCGACTTTCTTCACGGCTTTTTGAACATCGTCGATTTGTGCCTTCTATAGAAGAAGAAGAAGATGGAAAAGAAAAAAGAAAAAAGCTACTGACTGCTGATGAGGAAGAAGGATCATCTCCTCAAGAAGTTTTAAGAGGGAAAATGAATGGGGGTGAGGGAGACAAAGACATGTGAAAAGTGGGAAAAATAAAGAGTAGCTGGTACGTTGAGATAGGAAAGAAGGGAATGAAGGGACACTCATAAAGGCAGAGAGAGAGATATAGAGAGAGGGAGGAAGCCATAAAAAGTGAGGATATGTTGAAAGATTGCTTACATGTAAGCAAACTGTTTATTCTGTATGCTCATATGTCAATGAGCGATCGCAGTTCAGAGCCGTGATACTCGAACCTCCTGATGCTTGATCACTTTCCTACTGTTTTTTTAATATATTTTTTTGTGATCAGGTGAAGGAAAATTCAACACAGTTGTTCATATATTCAATATGATTTCAATAAATTAAATAGATATTGTATGATTTGTGTAAGGCCACCTGTTGATTTGTGTTATTCACGTACCGCTGTTCAAATAGCATTCTGAGCATGTGAGGTCGGTGGTGTGCATTTTGCGTTTAGTCATGGTAATATGATCTATTTTACTTAATCAAATTGGAAAGGCAAAAGGCAACTGCCAAATATGGAGTTATAGAATAATAATAAGTTGACTGAGATGAATATGGGATGAGAAGCTAGATTGCCAAAAAAAAAATATTTTATTTAATAGTTTTATATATTTTAATTGTTATTTGTTTATTCAAACAGTTGATGGATCAGAGATGGATAGAAGATCTCTCCTATATGGCATCGAACAATACCTCACCAATCCAGTTTCAATTGATAGAAACTTCTGAAAGACTATATTTCGTCAATCCTTCAGACGTCACACAGCGTTTGAGGAGATGATCGGATGCCACAAGACGCTTCGTCCGATCAACATTTTTACCAAAAATGGACGCTTTCGTGTGAAAATTTTAATTCTTTTGAACCACGAAAACTAAGAAGGCAGCTAAAATCAAAAATCACTTTGGACGACAAAGGAAAGGGGATAGAAGAGGTGCTGATGTTGATGAGAGAGTGTAAGCAGAAGAAGAAGCGAAAAAAAAGCAAAGTTAAGATAGTACTGAGACAGAAAGTAAAAGTAAGGATATGCAGTTGGGAGAGATGAAGTCTTCAAGAGGGACACAGCTAGAAGCTAACAAGAACTCTAATTAAGAATACTTTGAAGAAGAAAACCTGTAAACCATAGTCGATGAGCGATGTCGAGTGGAAAATTGAAGAGAGTTTACAAGAAAAAAATGGTTTTTAATAAACAAATAAGTATTTCACTCGATTGTATTCCATATTTGGGTGATGATGATGATGATGACGATGGCTTGAAGGGGAGATGTTAAGAGATGCCAGAGCATATGAGTGAATGTAAATGAGATGAGGTATCGGCAGATCATACAATCCTTTTGAAAAACACATTGTTAATTATATTTTCAAATATTTTTAATTTATAATTGTTAGTTTGCTTAATGTACTTTGAATTCTATATAACAATGGAAATTGCCTTTATCGAAACTGACACATGGAATTAGGGCATTGAGTGAGTACGAAGCCATGCAGTTGAGCGGTTTTACCCATAAAAGTCCTTTTTTGACTTCGAGAGAGATGAAAAAATAGTTTATTAGACAAAAAAACAATTGACTTCGTCTTTGTGAATGAAAAGAAAAACACATTTTGAACATCCTTTTTCGCCTTTTTTTTCCATTCAGTTGACCATGCCGAGTTCGATTGTGGTTGCTTTCGGAAGCATCGTAATGTCATGTGGGTAATCAGAAAAAAAAGTTTGAAAGTTTCAATGCGTTTTTCAAAAACAAGCACATCCAAAACGTTTTTTTTAAGTTTCCTTCTGACTTTGCTGCTGTAAAAACTCATTTCGTAACGTTGAAAGAGAGATGTTTCTTTGATCAAAAAAGGTTTAATGAAGTGACTCATGAATTTACTTTTATGACTCAATCCTATTTGTGTGGCAAACATCAACGGTGGTCTGAATTAGAGAACTTCGATAAGGGGAACTCATTTCTTAATAATCATTTAACTCATAGCCCACGTATTCCACGTAACTCGCATTACGTGATTGCAATGCAACATCATTCATAGCAAGTTGGACGTGATGAGCGGTTGCATTTCTTATATCTTTCTGAATCGGAACAATTGCATTGAAACGTTTATTTGAGCTCATGGGTGGTATATGGTTTTCTTCAATGCTGCAGTTGGCGGTGGTCTTTCGAGTTCTCTGAAATAGGAATGAGTGTTTTGCAAGCTTTAAGCTCCTGCTTTTTTCGCAACTCAAGACGAATGCATTCCAATCGGTGGTGAAAGAAGAGACTGGTCACACTTAAGAAGCGAATGATTGCTTGTGCGAATATTTTTCTGTAAGCTTCAAAGATATTTGGTGAATTTAATTAGAGAAAGTCTGTAAAGCAGAAGAATGTAAGATGTTGTATGGAAAGCAAACAGACGACGAAGTAGTTTGTAACATTCTAATGAAAGACAAAGAAATCTTAATGCATTATTTAATAATAAGTAAGTCTTAGCTTAGATAGCATTACATTGAAGGTAAGCCCTATACCTTAAAGAGGACATGCCCTTCATATATGGATGGAGATATTTCAGCAGTTTACTTAATTTAAATGGATAGCAGTAAGGAGAGGCTGTGAAAAGCTCCTCTCATGAAATTGGATCTTGAAAGCTTAAGACGGCTAGAAATATACATCTTTGGAATAGTTTGATAGTTTGAAATATTATATCTTTTTCATTATCTCACACACACAGCCACAGACACACACACTTACTTTGCCGCCTTCTTTTCGTTTAAGCTTCTCAGTTTTAAAATTATTTTATTGCTTAAGCCTATAATCCATTTGAGCTCTATAGAGCGAGCCTTATAGTTGTTGGTAGTCTATTAAGGTGTTAGAATAGATTGTCTGTTGAATATATTGTTTTGTATTGATGTAACTCTTGATGTTAGCCAAGCAACTTCACATTCAGCAGTTACAATAAGCAATGAATGATGTCATTCTAGCTATCTGTCATAGTATGAGAATCAAAGTCATATTCTTATGATTCAAACGGTTTTGCTGCTTATCTATAGAGTTTCATTCAATTAGAATGTTGTTATTGTTAGCCGAAATAGCATTCAAGTTAGCAAACTAAGCTTCATTGATTTATTCATCAAAAATGATAAATTTTCTATGAAATATCATCTTTCTTTGTCATAATATTAAAAAAAACCTTTCAAATCACCATTGATGATATTGCTTTCATGAATACATTTCATGAATATTTGAAAGAAGATGGGAACATTGCCCATTTCCTTAAATAGTCAGATTTGCTACTCACATCTTCAGACGTTCACTTCCTCTGTCGCTTCTTCATCCTCTCCTTCAACAATCTATTTTTACCTGATTTCAGAATTAACCATGAGAGTCTTGGCTGTTTGCTTTCTATCGCTCATCGTCATTTGTGCTTTGTCAGGTAAGCATTCATGCCATAGCTCTAGAAACCATGATCATGAATGATGAGCTATCCTTCAAATACTATTAAAACTCATTTTCAATATAATCTCCAGCAGACTCTCACAAACACTATAAACTTATCTATTGCAGAAGCCGTCAAATTCTGTTATAGTGGTACTGATGAGAAATACCGTGAGAAAGAATGTGGATTAGGAGTTGATGATCCAATGATCTTGTTCTGGTGCCAGAAATATCATTGCAAGGATATTGACGGCGGAAGTAAGTTTGAAAACTTTTTTTTGCAAGCTCTCTGAATTATCTGTATGTGATTGTTGGCCTTGTGAAGAGAATACCTGACTTGTGATTGTCATACCCATCGTTATCCTTTGACAGACCTTTTCACCGTTCGTGGTTGTATCTACCCTGGACAAGACCGTTGTGATGCTGCCAGAAAGCGTTGTGACCATTTGAACGGAACTTTAGATTGTCCCACTTGTGACACAGATTTGTGTAACTTATAAGGTAAACCAATGTCGTCTTCTCACCTTCGCATGAATATATTGGCATGATAACGTGAAAGTGATTGATCGATGTCTAATGTACGTGTTCAGAAGCTTCGGCTCTTAACGACAGTCTTGTAATTCGTTCATGTGTGCCTGAAGAAGAGAGATGTGCTGCTCAAGAACAATATTGTCAACAACTAGGTGGAGTTGGAGAATGTTTTACTTGTAACGAGGATGGTTGTAATTCTGCTCAAAACTATTTTTCATATTTTGTGTTGTCTATGATCATTCTCATCAACCAGTTTATGTAACATCCTCATATACATTCTCTATCCACTTTGCCATTCAGAATATCGTTTTATCCATCATTTCACTTAATTCTATTTGTTCTTCCGTATTTTCTTTTTTCAATAACACATCAATTACAATAAAACAAAAGTGCAAAGATGAAAATATTTATTTCGATTATGAGAAGTCGTTTACGAATGATAAGACTAGATACTTCTCGTAATTAATCAAGCGACCTCACCCTGCAAAATGGTCTTCTATCATTTGATTGTTCCATTACTGAAATTACCTTAACTGAAAACGATCCAGTGTTGAAGAAGAATCGTCTACATACACACAGTACCAATGTGAAGGCAATGATGAACATTATTGCTCCAACGGTGAAACCAATGGCAAACGCTGGCCATGACTCTTCTGAACACAAGAGCGAGATAGAAGAAGCATTAAGAAGCTGAATACTTACTCCAGTTAATGTTAGCGAACTTGTTTAGATCAGTCATCATCTCAATTGAGCTATGTATATGAAACAAACGGCTGACTATGGAATATCTGTTGCAAATGTTGTTAAATGAGAGAAACGAAGGCAGAAACGGTTGAGAGAGAGATCGAGAGAGCGAGGGGGGAGGAGAAGAAGAAACATACCAGAATCGATGAAAAACTAAAAAAAAAAGTTAAGAGAAATATTTCAAAAAAAAACGGCAATGATCTCACGCAGTTTAGCTTGAGAACGAAGCCATCAATGTCAAAGGTGTGTGTGTGGGGTCGTAATGAGGAGAAGCGTTGAATATCCGAAACAAGTCAAGAGAGATAGAAATAGAAAAAACGATGATCGAAGATGAAAAACTAATTTCTTTTTATTTAAAAAAATGGAATAATAAAAAAAGATAAAATGTGTGAGAGAATCTGATGGCTGGTGATCGTTCAAACTGAACAAGCTTATCAATCTTCATAACAGTGACCCCATTCTTTTGTATTTTATTTTGAAAGCTTCACAGTTTCCTGTTAAAGTTGAAATGTAATCAAAAACGGAAGATGTTTGTTTCCACACACACACACACGTATAACGACCTCATATTCATTTGAAAATTCTTTATTATAATGTCAACAAATGACTTTATGAGTATCAAATAAGTAAAACATCAACATGCGCATTTCTTCTTCAAATTATTCAATTCTCATATGGTTTTCTAACCATGATAACAAATTATTAAGCGAAATTCAATAAATTATCTGAAGATGAGGATAAATGTTGTTATCTCCTCCTTCTATATGTTCATTATACTATGCGTTCATTAACTATACACATTAGACAGCTGAAGTATCCTTTGGCTTCGTCTTATCCAACGAATCCCATGCCATCTGAAGATGTTTTCAGTATATACTTGTCTATCAGCACATCACTTACTTGACAGAAGTGCTTAACAATCGAATTTTCATCTGTTCGACGGTCTTCTTTTAACATTTTGTCAGCTGTTTTTTGAATTTTCATTATTCTAACGGCATCCGATAGAGGAGTTCCGCGTTCTGATGTTGTTCTCATCAGAGGTTGTGTGAAAAGAGAGGAGGCTGAAACATTGAACCTATTGCAACTTGTTTTAAACAAACAAACCTTTCAATGCTGGACTATGAGATGTTGAAGCAGATTTGCTCAAGCAATGCTCCAGAAGAGGTGATGAAGAGCCAATCATCACATCATCGCTGGTCATGGATAACCGTCCAACAGATAACTGGAACGAGAAGAAAGTATCATAACGAATTGATGTTAAATGGCTTACTGTGCTGGCACTGAGTGGAGCACATGGTGGCGGTAAACCAGCAGCAACATCATCATCAGATTTATCCAGTTCTCTTTCTTCGTCTATCTTGTTCAACGTTCTTGATTCAGCATTTCCTGCAGCATCTAGATATAACATGTTGATAACAATGTTATGAAAATCATCTTAAACAAACCATTTTCTTCGCCCATAATGTAAACAGCACTTTCTATATCCGTATCAGTGCTTACGTATGTTGTTCCTGAGGAATTAGTCATAGTACCTTAAAATAAACAAATTAATGTTATTATTATAAACATTAAATGTTGTTAAGAAAATAACAATCAAACATACTGTTTGTTGAAACAAGCATTCGTGCTGCTTCACGTAAAGGTGCTACATCATCATCCCATTTATCAATGATAGTCTTCTCATCTGATTCAGAGGCCATGTTCGATTCAGATGACCACATTCTATCCTGAATTACAAAATGTTTCTGAATAGTCTCATGAAGTAACTCACCCTTCCTTGTGTATTGGTCATTTCCAAATGCTTTATTCTACTTTCAAGTGATTGGATATAGTTTAATAACTTCTCGGTGTCTTTAGTACGACTAACGTTCTGCTCATCACTTGTATTAGAAGTCTGCATATGTTCAGATATCATTCGTAGAGCGTGTTCCTTTAATGAAAAGATATTCTACAACATTCGCAAACATGATAATACCTTCTGAACGTTGTACTGTAATGAATCTGATAACTCTGTAGACTTGTAGTTGTCTGAATCGTTACTGCGCTCGCTACTTCCACAACCTTAACAAATGAAATCAATGATCTGTTCAATTAAAACAGTTTTCGAAGTACCTTGATCTTCACTTTCTTCTTCATCCTGCTGTCTATTGAGCATGTATTGTCGTTGCTCATCCAAATATAAGCAAAGCTGTCTCAGTTCTTCATTCTCTTTGATCATCTGTTGGGTGCGAGTTTCTAGTTCTCCAACACGTTGTTGATAACTTTGGATTTCCTTGAAAAACCATCCACTTGAACAAAACTTCTCGAAAAACACTAGATACCTGTCTCATGACGTGACTAGTATATTTGCCAAACTTTTGCCATTCTCTTGCTAATCGACGAGCCTTCTGTCTGTCATCATCCAAGAAGCAACACAAGTCTCGAAGCTCCTTGAAACATACATTGAAAACAAGAACCAAAGCAGTTTCTTTACCTTATTAGATTGAGCGACTTTCTTATTTTCTTCTTTCATCATTCGAATTTCATTTATGTGCATCTGAAAAACAAAATAGTTCAAATAAAGAGAAGACTGTCGAATATAGCTTGAAGAGCAACCGCATTCTACCGTCACACGACTCGAAATGAAACAAAATGGTGAGTTGGCGCGAAATTAGCATACAGCTGAGATGAACAGTGTATGCTAATTTTGCCTACAAGTCGTGATAGTGACAGTACAACAAGCGATACATATCGTTATTTCAAGAACACAATCTGTCTCATGAAAATGCAAAAGGATATTACAGGGTAAGAAAACTGATGTTTTGAAGGTCAACAACGATATGAGCCAAATGATTTTTTCTTGTTGTTTGAAAGTAAAGAGTCTCATCGAATTACCTGAACACGTCTATTGGCATCTTCGACAACATCATTCTGTCTTCTCATCAGTCGTTGATTCTCAATATCCAGCATCTTGCATCGATGCCTCATATTCTCGTACTGTAACTGTGTAACAGAGTATGACTGGAAAAATTCAAATTTATAATAAGAATATAAAAAAGCTAGACAGAATATAATGACATACCGATGGTCTCTGGTTGGTAGCACCTGGAGATGATCCAGCTAATGGTGAAACGACAGACACAGTAGGATATTGTATTTTCGGACTTCGTCCTTAAAGGTAATTAATGTTTGTATAAACTGCTTGAAAAATTGATAATAGTACCTAATGATCCATTTTCCGAATTGAAAGATGTATTGGCTGAGCCACAAGAAGGTTTCATGGGTTGAGCGTAATGAATGGTATTCTGTTCTGAGGAAACAGACGCGAAACTCCCCGTAGACATGCTACCGGTTTTTATATTCTGTAAAAGGTAACACTAATAGGCGAATTATGGATTGTTAGAACAGAAAGGATTTACCTCTCTGAAGAACAAGAAGAAAAACATAATGTGAGGCTCAAAAAAATGGAGAAGAGGACAAGATTTTACAACAAAAAAATGTGTTGAAAGAATAATAGAACATCTCATATGCTTATATGGAATATACGGAATGACGAATGAATACAAGGAAGCGGGAAGAACGAAAAAATTCAGTTCATTTCCAGAATAGAAAAGTAAACAAGACCATTTTGGCACACAAAGGTATGAATGAAGGCGGATGAAGCCTAATCACTTACGCAAAAAACGATAAGCTAGGACCGCATATGATAAAACTGAGAAAGCACAGGGAAAAGCAGGAGAAGCACAAGGCCAGAAGCCGGTTGCAAATCATAACACACATGAAGAACGATAGAATAGTATGTGTGAAGAAGAAGAAGAAGAAGATGATGATGAAGAAGATGAAGATGATGACGACGAAGAAGAAGGAATTGATATAGATAGGGGGGGAAGCAGTCCGTTGACGACTTGATAAACATTAAGAAATGTTCATCTAAAGGTCGCAATTATCTACCAAGCTCTTCAGCATTTATGAACTTTTCAATCGATTGAGGTATAATATGAAAGAAAACATCAAAATTATCCGACAATTTAGTTCATTTTATGTTATATGTTCTTTCATCAAAATAATCAAAGGATTATTAGACACTTTGACTATTCCGAAGTACGAGAAACTTCAAAAGACACAGGAAGAGGCGTGTCGGCGATGAAGGGTCATGACATGAACACAGACTCTTTGCATGATCTCAAGAAATAAAACAGAAACAGCTAGAAGATGACGAGAAAAAAAAATGCTCAACACAATGTTCAGAAATAGAATGAAGAAGCTTTTCCAAACTTTTCGCTCATTAAGCTTTTCGTAAAACGTTGAAGTATCCGTTCAAGAGCTATCGTCCGAGAATATGGAAATTCATTAAGAAAAGATAGAAAGAGAAGGAAGAGGAAGAAAACGTCAAACCTCGAAGATAGAATAAGAGAGAAAGAGAAAGAGGGTATGAAAGAGAGGATGAGAGAGAGAGTGAGGAGAATGAGTAAAAAGGTATTTCATTATATAAACTAGTAAGAAAACCTTTTGGTCATTAAATCAAATTATTCCAGTTTAACTCAACTTAATTGAAGTCCTATGAATAGTAATGTATATTCTAAGAGATTTACAGACAAGTTTGTTATTTTAATAGTACAATGCAAACGTATTATTTTCATAAACAAGCCAGTCAGTCCATGTAGGTTGTTTTCATTCAAAAACGGAAGCAACATCATCATCATATATCCAATCGAAGACGAATATCATATTTGACTTCAATCTTGAATAATATGAAAAAGCTGAAACTCTTTTTTTTCTCAAAAATTCGTAAGACCTTGAGCGAATGCAAAGGTAATCCAATAAGCAGGTTGGTCATCTGGACTGTCTTTCACAGACCTTTTATTGTTTGATGAGCCTTGACCAATCAAACTTCTCAGAGTTTTGAATATGTTTTGAAACAATATCCAGAAAATCAAATAAGAAACATAATGATTATAAAAACAAAAACATCTGAACTACTGAGTGGAATAATAACAACATGAAGCTAAGCCTATCATAAACATCACTATCTCATATATGGTATGGCACGTCAAAAAAAAGAGAAAGAATAAGATAGAAGGAGAGAGAAAAAAGAAAAAGAAGATTAAGAGGAAGAATCAGAAAGTTTTATATTCAAGTAAGAAACGAAAACGGATTGTAAGACATGCGAGTGCGGAAGAAAGACGACTATGTCTCCGAATGCAACCATTCCACACAACCTGTCATTCAAAAATGACTTATGAAAATGAGTTTTACAGTCATGTCACGTATAAACGTGGAAAATTAGAATGGATGATCGGTTTTAAAGTTCAGAAAGCAAGAAGCTGTGAGAAAACGAAAACGTTTCACGTTTGGCAACATGCATAAACCGAAACAGGAAAACTGCCTTAAAAGGATGAACGGTTAGGTAAAACTGTATTTGAGCGATTAAAAACTAACAACGAGAATATTAACATACGAGTAATGTCATTTGTCATCTTAATTTGCATGAATGAAGCTTCAACAACAATTAATTCAAAAATGTTCATAAGGAACAGCTGTGGATATGAATCATTCCTCATCACACATAAGCACACAGAGACATCACATATACGTAGAACAGGAGGAAATAAGCGTAGACGAGTAATGAAGACTTTAAACAAAAAAAGTTACAGAAAAAAAAAAGGATTTGATGAGAAAATGGGGGTGAGTTAGTTAAGGTCACTAATTCACAAAAAGCCATTTCTTAACGTCTTTAACCCTTCTCTATGCTAATCAGACCGAAACATCTCGAAAAGATTTCCAGATACAACAATGATTTTTCTTAAGGAATACAGATGAAACATGAAAAGTTTGTTGATTTGAGAGAGACGAAAAGAGAAGCGCAACAGACCAAGTCCCATATAAGGTAAACTCTTCTAAAAGACTGTAACTTATATCTGATCATGTGAAAGAACAAAAATTGATATTATTCACTCGCTTTCACAATTCTCTCTCTCTCTCTCTTCCTCTTTCTCTCTCACTATCCTAATCAATCTTCAATAAGCGGAAAGCAAATGCAAATCATTAAGGAAACAGGCGGAAATGAGAAGAGTTGCGAACAACGTTCCATAACATGCAAAAGCAGAATGTACAGTCATAACCTTTAAGGGTGAGCCTACCGTTTAAGGTTATGTGGCAGGCCATTGGCAATATGATGAGCATCTATATAAGATGGGAAAATGTCTTAGTATTCGCCGATACATACAACACGTGTCATGATTAACAGAAAAAGAGGCTTAAGTGAGACTTCTTAGGAGAAAATAGCCTGAGGCAGAAATCGGTTCTCATGTCCGCTGATGATGTATAATCACCTAATCTTTTTGAAAAGCGAAAAAAGAAAAACCGATGAAGCTGAAGAAATGAAAAAAAATAAACTTGAAATGTCTAAATAAAGAACTCAGAGATTGATTATCTTTCCAAAAACTCCAATTCGAAAACCGGAAATGTTATGATAATGAACGTATCGATTGATTCTCTCTCTCGAAAAACAAACAATCTCGGAAAATACAAAGTACAAACTAATAGCAAAACATCGACAAAATCTTTTTCTGCTGCAACTTCGATCATTACTTAACAAGTACTCATAACATCGTAAAGTATCGAAAACGCTACGGATGTTATGGAAGAAATGAGCAGTTCCTTTCATGAGTTATAATATGCAAACCTGAGCTACGTTATTACTCTTGCAAACCATATTTGGTTGAAGGTGTTGAAGCGTATTAGTTGGGTGAAACATAATAATTCCCATAAGGGGACATGTACCAATTACTTATTTAATAAAATTTGAATACGACAGAAGGTTTTAGATTTTGATTCAAAGCATGTTGGCTTATAAGGGAAAACTTGAAAAAAAACTTATTCGTTAGCAGATCGAATTAATCTGTTCATATAGTTTCGGACAACTTGAACTCTTAGAAAGTTAAGTGAATACAAGATTGGCATTGGTGTATAGAGAGATTGGGAGAAGGGAATGTGGGGGGATTGGGAGGAAGTAACAATTGACTCAACAAGTGATTCTAGCAATTCTCAATATGGCAAGTTTCCTTTCTATCTGGGTGATACTATCTTCAGTATTAGATGGAGAAAGGGGAGAATATGGAAGAAAATAGGGATTTGTTACCCACGTCGTCTGATAGGATTAGATGAGTGAAACAGGAGAATATTTGATGACTTTCTATCTTTCTCCTCAAAAATTCAATTAGGTCTTGACCAAAATTAGAAATCCAATCAAAACCATTCAAATGTAAAGAAGTGTCTATGATTTGCACAAAAATCTGCATGGCTATAAAAGGAAGAAATGGAAGCTGTGTACGAAAGGTTGTACAACAAAACTGGGATTGGAAGCATCAGCTGGTACATGAGAGAAAGAAAAACGGTTCAAAGGGTTAACAGCCTTTAAGATACCTTTGGAAAAAGAAATGAAAAAGGGAAATGCTATACTCAGAGCAGCTCAAGGACATTGAGAACAGCTATCATTCCTAGAGGGAAAATAGACAGAGATAGAGAGAGAAAAAAGAGACAGACCCCCTGTAGATATTAACCACATTCACAGACAGATTTTGAAAGAAGAAATGCCGCATCTGAAGAAAACGCCAAAAAAAGGAAAATAGCTGATCTGAAATCAACCATTGAAAGCAAGTAGTTGAGTTTAATGACGTCCAAGATTAGTCTAAACTACTTTTCCTGTCAGGTTAACCCTGGTAAATAAGGACGCCTGTTCATTACAACCTGCTATCGCGCGATTAGCATATCACAGCTTCCAGAGAGGAAGAAGCGTAGAAAGAACTTAGAACTCATTATTTATCAATTGTATAAAGCATTTTATTACTACCAAAAAGCTAGTACACGAATAAAACAGTTTATGAGAGAAATAAATTAATCATTTGCCGGATTTAATATACAAAGGGAATCACAGAAGTCTTATCAAAGCAAAAAGTGAATTATCCGAGACCGTGATCCTCAAAGAAGCCTTGCGGAGTTTCTTCCTGAAATAGATTTCCGTCAACAACATTCGTAGAAGACTCAACCACTTTACTTCTCATAACTTTTTTGATTTTTAAAAGGTTAAAATACGAAAGTATGTTTCATTCGCCTCGAGAGAGAGAGTAGTGAGGTTGAAACAAGTTGGGTTTGAATACATTTTCAAATTTCATTTTGATTGTTTGTTTGCTAATGAGCGGTTGGTGTCTAACATGAGTAACAATAAGTGAGCAAGAAAGTTTTGAAAAGTTAAATGTAAAATTAAAATGTAATACCTCCTGTATGACATCCTGAGCTGCAATAGCTTTCAGCACTTGCTTCTTGCTCGTTTCCTGAATTTCTCCTGCTAATAGAAATTCGTCTAATATGAAATAGGCTTTTTCGAAGTTGAAAATGATATCTAATTCGCACACCTAATCGATTTTCACGTATATGACAAACGAAAGAAAAAGACTTACACTGCCGAAGTATTTATCCAACAACTCGACGTAGCGATGAATGATTTCCAAACACAACAGTTCATTATCATTCTGTTCTATAGCACAACAGAAGTATAGAGAAGCATATCTGCAAACTCATTATGATAAGCTTATATGGCAAAGAAGACATGCAACATGGAATTTTAAAACAAGCTTACCTCTTATAAACAATTTTGAGATCTTTGTACTCAAGAAAAGCACACATCTTTGGTTTTCTTGCCAAAATCTGAGTGATGAGTTCTCTGCATATCTTTTTCTTCATCTTAATATATTTTAATATGAAAGACAGTTCTAAACACAACTTACCTTATCTTGATAAGCTGTGTACCATTTCTGGAGTCGTAATTTGCCTTGACGGCTGAACAGCAGCATAAAGTGCATCATCTTCTACCTGAGATGATAAATGAAACGTCCGTATAAAGAATTAACACGAAAAAATGAGATAAAACGAAATTTAAGGTGATTAGCATATCATATCCAACATGGCATTCCACTTTTCTAACTACAATGATCCTCACATGACGTCTGTAAACAGAGTGCAAAAATAGTCTCGCAACGACTAAGATTCATTTGAATCCTTTCTTTTGTCATCCATTCACGACAGAGCTAGATTCATGAAGTTATATCTTAGATTTCTTTATAGTTTTGCATAAATTGTATCATTTTTCGAACACTTAATAAACCTTTCATGTTTCATTCTCTATAGATCTTTATATTTCGTTAATTTAAGCCGTAATGGGTCAACAACAGTCTGGATTCGGAGGTGGAGGAAAGCGCGGTGAAGACAGAGGTGGTGGAGATGGAGACAAGAAAAAACAGAAAAAGTATGAAGCCCCTATCCCAAGCAGAATAGGAAAGAGAAAGAAGGGATCTAAGGGACCCGATACCGCTAGCAAGTTACCACAAGGTGAGAACAGTTTTCATGATTTATAGAGACATCCTGGTTTTAGTAACCCCTCACACTCGCTGTCGGCTGAAGTTACTCAAAAGCGAACGCATAAAGGATTATTTATTGATGGAACAAGAATTTATTCAAAATCAAGAAAGACTTAAACCACAAGAGGAAAGAAGAGAAGAGGAGAGATCCTTGGTAATATTTTCAAATGAGAGTTCGCTTTTCCAATGCTTGATCATAGGTCGACGAGATCCGAGGAACTCCAATGGCCGTTGGTTCTCTTGAAGAGATTATCGATGATCAACACGCTATTGTTTCTACGGTTTGCTCTCTCAGTATTTCTTTGCGAATTATTTTTTTTGAAGAATGTTGGAAGTGAACATTACGTCGGAATTATGTCGTTTGTTGACAAAGAACAGCTTGAGCCCGGTTGCTCAGTACTTCTCAATCATAAGGTACGTAGCTACTACGTCTTAATCATTTCAAATTATTTACTTGTAGAACCATGCTGTAATTGGAGTTCTTGCTGATGATACTGATCCAATGGTATCGGTAATGAAATTGGAGAAAGCCCCACAAGAAACATACGCCGATGTCGGAGGACTTGAACAGCAAATCCAAGAAATCAAGGAAGCTGTTGAGTTACCTTTGACGCATCCTGAGTACTATGAGGAAATGGGAATCAAACCACCCAAAGGTTTTTGATACTATTAATATTTACTAGTTTATTTTTTGTAGGAGTTATCTTGTACGGTTGTCCAGGAACGGGTAAAACTCTACTTGCTAAAGCTGTTGCTAACCAAACTTCTGCTACTTTCTTGAGAATTGTCGGCTCAGAACTAATCCAAAAATACCTCGGTGATGGACCTAAAATGGTTCGAGAGCTTTTCAGAGTTGCTGAAGAACATGCCCCGGTACGATATATATAACTCAAAACCATAAACAAGTATTTTGAAATTCTAGTCTATCGTGTTCATTGATGAAATTGATGCAGTCGGAACCAAGCGGTACGACTCCAACTCTGGAGGAGAAAGAGAAATTCAACGTACCATGTTGGAACTTCTCAATCAACTAGACGGTTTCGATTCTCGTGGAGATGTCAAGGTATGTCTCTCATAAGTGTCTCATTCTTCAAGCTCCTTCTTTTAAGGTTTTGATGGCCACCAATCGTATTGAATCTCTTGATCCCGCTCTTATTAGACCAGGACGTATTGATCGTAAAATCGAATTCCCCCTTCCCGACGAAAAGACCAAAAGAAGAATTTTCCAAGTAAGACTATTATACCTCCTTCCAATTAGTAATCATCTTAATAAATAGATTCACACATCCCGTATGACATTATCAGAAGATGTTGATTTGGAGCACTTCATCACTGCTAAGGATGAGTTGAGTGGGGCTGATATCAAAGTGAGTAGTTTTACTTTAGCTGAGTTCAGTATTTCTTTAAAGGCCATGTGTACTGAAGCCGGTCTGTTAGCTCTTCGTGAGCGTCGTATGCGTGTTACTATGGATGATTTCAAGAAGTCTAAAGAGAACGTGTTGTATCGCAAGAAAGAAGGAGCTCCAGATGAGCTTTACCTTTAAATATTGTGTCTTTAAAGCCGAATGGGTTTTGTATATTATGTTTTCTCTTTTTGCTCTGATCACTCATGATTAATCTATTTATTAGAACATTTTATATTTGTTCATAAATGCTGTTAATACAGTCCTTACTTTATTTCCATTTGACTGTGAATGGTTTGATATTAGTTTTCTAGATGTCAAGGAAAAATAGAAAGCAGACAAAACCCACCCAAGCTAAGCCGGAAGATAAGGGTGTAAAACCAGTCAAAGTCGTGCATGATCCTTGGGCTGCAATTGAAAAAAATGAAACCGTTGAAACAGCACGTATGTATAGAACCTCAACTTTGTCAACCATGAAGTTTCAGACAAAGCGTTCTATAAACCCGCTGAAGAGAAAACAAAGTTCTTCCAGGTTTTGTCAGATTTTATTCTATAATCATCCACTCTTCTAGAATAAGAAGAAAAAAACCATGAACGATGGTCTGTCCGGGCAGTACTATGACTTTTCCGCTGTGAAAGTTCGTAATAAGAGAACTAGAAAGAGTATTGAAGAAAAGAAGTCAGCCAATGCACTTCAAGCCGAAGAAGATAATTTTGGTGGAAATGTCTTCAAAACTATTGCTAAGAGATCCAGTAAGTAGCAATTTTTTTATATTTACATTGGTGATTTAGAGTATGATTCGACTGTTGAAGATCTTATGCCAACTGAAGAAAGCTTGGTTGATGAACTTGACTTGGATAGTGATTTGGATGATGAACTTTCGGAAGGAGGCGATGGAGAAAGTGAAGAGCCAGTCGTGTATGATATGGAAGCTGTTAGGCGACTGATTAAATTGGCAGCAAAGTCAAGTACTTCCATTTAATCTTTTCTTCCTTCCTACTATGTTTTAGAGAAAGATGTTGTTTCTGAAGAAAAAGCTGATCAATTCATCTTGGATGAGGCAGAAGAGATGGAGGATGAAGAGTTAGATGAGGAAGATCTAGAAGATGAAGAAGTAGAAGACGAAGAAGATGAAGAAATAGAAGATGAAGAAGTAGATGATGAAGAGGATGACATAGAAATGGATGATGAAGAGGAAGACGTAGAGACGGATGATGAAAGTGAGGGAGACGAAGATGTAGATGAGGAAGAACAGGTAGTCATTTTTATGTTGTGGTACAATTAGTTATTCGATATATAGGAGTCTGAACTTTCTGAACAAGATGCTGAATCTGATGAAGAGGCCAACCTCGGAGAAAGTCGTGAATGTAAAAAAATCGTTCAGGTAGAACCTTGTTGATTTTTTTCCTATGGAAATCTTACCTTTCAGAAAAAAAAAACCCCGTCAAAGAAGGTGATCGACTTCGACACTTTCCCTTTCAGTAACGATGATTCTGGTGTAACTGCAACACGTGCTTTCGGGTGGATGATCAACGTTTGTGACGTCCAATCCTTCTTCAGGTTCAGCTCACCTGAAGTTGTATATAAGGGATCTCTTTCAGTCAATTCCATCAACAGAATGCAATGGTCGTTAGACGAAACAACCCAGCCTACTATGGAAATCTTTTCTCTTCGGAACGTTTTGTGGAGCTTCTGGAGAAGGTGATGCAGAGTGTCTTTCCATCCTCATATTTTACTTCAATTCTCAGAACTATGTCGAATATGGCACTAATATAAACATTGCATCATACAAGGGTGGAGTGAGAACTACGTTAAATGGGAAAGGCAGAGTTTACCCAGCTGACATCAATAGACACATCAAAGTGAGTTTCTACTGATTTATGTTCCGAAGAACTCTCATTATAGAGCGGCAACTCGGTGCAGCTCGTCAATCCTCAAACATTCGATGAGCACATTTGGTATCTGTGTGAAATAATACAAGAACTGTTCCATTGTTTTGTTGGTGCAAATACGTTAGTGATTTGAAAATTTTTCGGGTGATCTTATTTTTCTCAACAGATATTTGACTCCAGCTGGCTCAGCTGGGTTCGCTCCTCACTGGGATGAAATTGACGCATTTTTGCTTCAATTGGAAGGTCGTAAATACTGGAAAGTGTGGGCTCCACGTTCAGATGAAGAGGAGTTACCTCGGGATAGTAGCCCCAATTTGACTCAAGAAAGTCTTAAAGGAAGAAAGCCCACTTTTGAAGGATGGGTAGAAGCTGGAGACCTACTCTACATTCCCAGAGGTTTCATTCACCAGGTTAGTATATTGAGTTTTACTGTCAGTAAAGTCCTGTTTTTGAGGCTCATACTGATAACGAAGTTCACTCTCTTCATGTTACCATATCTACGGGAAGAAAATGGGCGTTCGTCGACATGCTGGAAAAAACGGTGAGTAATTTTTAATATCGTAAACCGCAGTTTCGCGTCGTTTTCAGATACCAGAAATTATTGGTTCATTCAGTGATTCACGATTGAAGCTACGTCGTTCTTTACCAGTTAACTTATTCGATATCGGAGGATCAGCTGATTGCGAGTATGTACAAGAGGAGAATTACGAAGAGAAGTTTGATATTATTCATTTCAACTCTGCAATGTTTGTGACTCAGATATGGAATCCATGTGGATAGACATCTATCTATGTTACGTAATTTCTTCGCTGACAAATGCATGCATGCGTCTATAGACTTGATGGCTAAAGAGTTTTATAAAACAGCATTGCCGCCATGTCTTACTCCTGGTTTGTAAAATATCCTCTATCCTAATATGAAGCCTTTCTCAGAAGAAAAGAAGTATTCCGCTGTAGGTGTAAGCACCAACCTATTTGGTGCCCCATTAGAATTTACTTTGAACGTGCAAGTAAGGTTCATGAGGCGTCATGGACAAAGGTTATAATTTGATTCATGATATATATTCCAAATTGGTACTTCAGATTACTGTTCGAGTCCGAAGATAGTTATTATATAGTTACAAGAATGCAAAACTCGAGATTGTACGAAGGAAGACCAGAGGTTACGATAGATATACCCGCAAAGGTTAGTTATTTCACTAGTTAATAGTTAATTGTTGTTTCAGTTCGCTGACGCGTTCAATTTTCTAACAAACTCTTATCCTGAGTGGGCTAGAATATCTGAGTTACCACCAAGTTTGTCAAAAACCGAGAAAAAAGAATTCTGTCATTTGTTATATTCATATGGTTTGTTAATGGCTAAACGCTAGATTGTTTTGATTGTTATGTATACCGTTGTTACCTTGTTGAATTCTGTTACTTGAGATAAATTTTATTAGCTTTTCTTTGAATGAATGCAACCGATTTGTGCTACGGTAATCCAGCTATCCTAATGCCTACTTAGTAACGTTGTTCGAAGAGTGTTCTGGGTTGAGATTCAGCCTTCAGACGTTTGTATCTGAAAAAGCTACTTGCTTTGGGTTTTATACTTCCAACTTACTCTGGTTTCATGAATACAAAAACTAAGATGTTCGTGAGCAGGATTAAGACTAGAAGGAAATCGATTGAAGCTGTAATCATATATTTTTTTATATCTCTTCGGACTGTTTCTACCTAGACCCGTCGGAGAATATATATTTGAGCTGTTTAATAATTCCACTGCCGCATAGACCAGTAATAAGATTAAGTTTCTGTATTGAAATCTTCAATAACTTTCTGGTTAAGTGGACTTACCCTGCAATGACCATAAGGCCTGTCACAGTGGCTTCTTGAGCAGGAAATGTTATTTCTACTCCCAGTTCGAATGTGATAGGAAGTAATGGTATGGTACAACAACTAAAGGACGAAAACAGTAGAGTAGCCAAGATGTTAGAAACAACTGACTTCCATCCTGTGAAAACTAGGAACTGCAAAATTTTATTACTATTATTAGAGCTGACACTACTCACGAAGTGGGTCATAACTAGCACAACGGCTCCGCTCAGAACAAGGCATTGAAAAATTCCTAGAAATTTTTTTGTTTTATCCATTACATCTCCGAGACATAATGCTGAGACTGTTCCTAACATGAGCATCACTGCAGAAACGGCGCTGAAAAGGAACTGTCTTAAGTCAGACTCCAGACATATGTGGTATACCCAGCTGAGAGAGAGCTTTTCGATGGTATCAGCGATGGTATGATGATGAGAAAGCCCCAAAAGATAGAGTATGTAGCTCCGCCAGAAAATAGCAGTTTGATGAACTCCTTGTCCCTGCATTTGTTACTTAGCTATTTTAAATTTTTTGATGCTCACTTCAAACAGATCCGAAGTGATTCTTGGAAGCCGACTTCTTTCTTCGATCTAACTTCATGTGCTTGGCTTGCAGGTGTCGGAGGCAAGCTTGTTGGGACTAAGATCATTCCTAGCAGTGACAACAAAGCTGTTAAAGCTATAGCTATGTTCTGGATCGATGGTTATCATTGATAATTGTGAGCGAGCTTACGAAGTTTAGAAAGTTGCTAGTAGTAGTAATTTGGCGAGCTGTTTTCCATGTAGTTCCAGCAAAGTACATTACAGGCAAGCTCATCCCAATGGCGGCTCCTATAGGATTTGCTAAATAAACTTGTTAGCTTTCAATCTCAATTGATCCTTACATATGAAGAGCAAGACGTTGGCTATCGATCTCTGCTTCTCGCTGAACCAACCTTCAGCTATTTTTGTAGGTAATACTAGGAAGAAGGACTGTGATATGGCTACAATAATGGAGCCTGGAAAAAATGTGTTCTCTGGAAAAATCAGAAGAGCAACCTGTGTATAGGAGAGATTGCCGCACAAGAAAGTTTTGTATTGAAGGCAAAGACGAACATGTTCGAATTATAGCTCCAACCAAATTGAACAAGACTGCCATGAATAGCTGGAAAAAGATATTCAATGTGAAAAGAAATATAGGTCTTACTGCTGGGCGAATCCCCATTTTATCAGTGAGGTACATTCCAGGAACTCCTGCGAAAATTGCCACCAGCTAAAGAAATGGTTATAAACAAATTGAGAAGAAGATACACACCTGGAATATTTGATTAGTGATGAAAGCTGCTTGGCAGTTCTTCTTTGGCCCGCAATAGAAGACATCAGCTTCCTTCCCAACTGCTGAAAGTCCAAGCCACATCTAATCACAAGCTTGTTTGAATATATTTACGATTGACAAACCGTAGAATTACTCAGAGTAACCAGGAAGCAGACTGCTAGCACGATCCATCGTGTTCCATAAACCGTATAACTAAAAAATGGTGTCGAATATGTTAAACAGATTTAGAATACCTCGGACTTGCATTTACAGTGCAGCTGTTTTGAGGCCAGACCCTACTCATAACTTAATGAACCTGGAAGTAGATTAATGAATTTAAAAATCAAATGAGCCCGAAGGGCATGGAAGGAAAAGGAAGAATGGTGGAAAGAACTTCATATCTCTCTGAGTATATACATATTATATTATATATATAGCTATATATAATACAGATTGGATAAACAAAAAATTGGATTGGAAATTGAAGCAATAATGGTGTTTCAAACAAATGGTTTGTGAAAACTTTTCTACTCTCTACTCGAATCATGTTTTTTTTCAGAATCTGAAAAAGCGGAAGCTAATGATCAATGAATATCAACAAGACGGATACAAAATTATGAATGAACCAACCATCATCATGTGAAGGAATGTCCCCTTCATCATCCGATCTATCCTCATAATACAACTCGATGCCATCTATTATCTGGAACCGAACGGTTTATTATAAATTCAAAATCGCTTGTTGAAGTATCTTACCTGCATATTTTTTAAACATGCCTTGCATTCCAGAGTTAACGAGAAGCAATGAATGCAGTAAAAGCTACCGCATTCCACACATAGACGAGTGTTTCTGTAAACGTTCAAACATAATCAGTAAGTTCAACTTCTGCATACGCTTGATCGGCAAGACTCATATCTGTTTTTCGGCATCTCGTACATATTACTTTAGCTAATCCTTTTGATTGCACGCTCTGACGAATAAGTTGTTCACGTCCTTTTTGTTGTTCGTCAGCAAAAATAGCCTATACAAACTTAATATGATGGATAAATTAATACTGACCTTCTGGCGGCTTATCAGTAGAGTCATAAGTGATTTCCTTTCCGAGAGAATTTTGTTGTATAGGAAGAGAGCTCTTGGACGAACGCGGTGAGGATAGAAATAGTCTGCCATAGCTAATGACTGCCGGGAGAGCCAGACTTTTGTTCGACAAAGCATAAGACATATCAAAAATAAGCCCAGCATCAAAAGATAAGCGAAGTAGTCAGGAGGTGTAGGTTCATCAAAGCATGCCCTCCACCTGAAACAAATAGAATAAACCGAACAATCGTTTTTCCAAAGAGAACCGTTGGTCTCTGTCCTTTATGGCACTTGTGATGGGTGAGAATGTTTCTAATAAAGAATTAAGTAATTTAGCTGTATATCCTTCTCCAGACACTTTGATTTCATAATGGGGAGGAGTTTCTATTTTTGTATGACCGAAAACATTAAACACTCCGATGAGGATCTGAGAAAACTATTCGTTAGTTGGAAATGAAGTACTCACCCAGTATATTGATTGGTCTAGAACCATGAAGATTATAGGTGTTGACATTGCTAACATTGTTAAAGCTATAGAAACTTTCAAATCTCCCCGCTCAGTCTCAGTCATCCTCCATGCCGTTCTTGGCAGAAACTGAAAGATGTGTATGAACTTGGTTATTGAGAGATATGTCACTGTTTCCTGTTCTTTGCTAGTCAGAGGTAACACCTTCGAGGTGCCTTTGAGAATGCAATCCAGATCTATGGCTTGAAATTCTTTCGTGATATAAAAATTCTTGTAATCCTCGCGATAGTTGTATTTGTAAATGAACAAAGCTGTCTATGAAATGTTTTGTGATAAAATCGTAGTTTGGAGAGACAAACTGAGAAGTATGGCCAGAAAAGTGCTATGGGTAGAAAACTATAATGGACTACAGATGCCAACAAGCTGATTGAAGCTCGATATGTTTCTATTATGGATGAAAGTGTTCGTTTCAAATTCTAAACTACGAAATTACAGGAAAACAACTCTGTACAAACTCACTTCTTTCATTTGAGAAAAGGATGACTTCTCGCTCCCACGTTTAGAACTGATTTGCAATCCTAGCGTCTGCAAGTTTTTGATTTCAGTTGTGATGTTCCTTCGTTTGCCATCCAGCTGGAATGTTCAAGTAGAGATAAGCAACATACAGGATCTTCTCATTACATATTTGAACGCTTTAATATGAAAATAGTGGGCCTTTTTAATTACCCAGAACACCTTCTTCCAAAACGCTTTGTAGAATGGGATCACTCCTTCAGTGATGCCTGAAACAATTTGAACAAATTTCGTTTTTGTTTTCAGTTTTCTCAAAACAACACAGTGTTCCGAATGATCACAAGTTGTTCACCTCCTTGTATCTTCTCAGGAAAGTTACAAACCGATCCTCCAGCTGTCTTGCCAGCATCACACATCTGAATATAAGCAAAAGTACGAGCACAAACGGAAACAGTACTTTACTAGCTTCTTTGATTTTGTCACAAACATGAGTTCCTAAGTTAGCTTCGTTAGATGTACATGTCAAGTAAGCTTTGCGAAAAGTGTTCAAACACTTGAAATGATCATCAAGTTAACCAACTAGCTCTTCTGACTTACAGTTATATATGGACCTCTCATGGCCTTCTTACACTCATTTGTTACTTCTGAAAGATGTTTCCATGAATTTTGAATCATTTGTATCACCCTGAAGATTGAATCAGTGTTTCAAGAGGTTCTTTACTACCTGTTGACTCCTCGATCTAGTCTATGCAGCAGATTTCGGAAGTAATTTAACGGTTCCGAGACGTCATGTATCAACTTCTGAACTATTTGTACAGCCATCTGAATTGCAAATTTGTATGTTCGTAATTGCAAGAGAGTACTTGTCCGTGTTTCACTATATTCTCATCAACCGCATGTACAGACCCCATAACATCTTCTTGTATGCAGCCAACGCCTTCAGCCATTTTATGAACGTTGTTCAAAGCGTTCATTGCTGGCCCCTGAATCAAGTTCCTACGAAGGCTGACGATAGGAACTTACATCGAAAGATATAGATAGTATAACTACCAGGAAAAGTGTTCGTAATTTCGAAGAAAACATCCGGTGAGTTGAAAGCATGAAATAATACATGATCTAGAAACAATAAACAACACATTGTTGTTTATATCTCACCGAAGGGAAGACGAACATTAAAGAGAGAACTATATGAACGGGGATGGAAACAAGTGTACCAGCTCTGAAAGAATAGTAGTAAGGGAAGAGAACACTTATTCCAAGCTTACAGAGCAGGATCCTTTACATATTTTAAACAGAGTATTGAGTAAACAAGAACTCCGAAGATTTCAAATATGACTATATCTCGTACTAGACGAGCCACGCAATTCTCTCTGAAGTAGATCTCGATGTTCATTTGGTAGCTTATCACCTTACTGAGTTTTCTCTTTAAAGATTCGATGATATAACTTTGATTCATTTAACTTTTCGTGAAACGGCGGGTACAACCAAGCTAGTTTCGCCTTAAGCTTCCCAAGCCCTCGCTGTAGTTTAGGCTCTCCCGCATTTACTCTGAACAGAATATATAGAAAAAGAAAAAAGATAAAGAACTTATACCTTCGAAGGTTTTGTACTTTCCACAAGAAATTATCGATTTCTCCATCAGCCCGCTTCCTTGAGTTGTACAGTCGCCAAACACCCATGACATCAACTCAATAAGTTACGAAATCGCTTGATAGCTCGTAAATCTAATTAGCATATTTGAGCGTGGCCACATCATAGGTGATGTTCACGTATGCTAATCTTTGCGTGGCTCATTATTTTTCATTTGTTTTGCGAGTAGAGCAGTTGTTTTCATTTCTTTTTCTCAACCCAACTTATCTTTTTATTTTAAAGAATTCTGAATGACGAGCACTTACTTGCCAGTCTCCGAAAGAAGTGCCCTTCCCGAAATTAAATAAAATGTGAAAACTTGAAGCTAAGTGAATCTATCAATTAAGGTAATTGTTTGTATTTATCACGTTTAAACTGAAATATATTTTTAGTGGTTGAAAAGGAAGTTCAGCGAGTTTTCCTATTTTATGTGAATAAGCTCCATGTTTTTTTGTCATCGACATAGAACAACAAAAGAAGATTTGTCACAAAATGTTTGAACATACTCATCAGGGTTTTCTTTTTTATTTCTGCATTCTACTTGCTTTCTTATGAATGTCCTCCAACTTTTTGGTTTTAGTGACGCCGATGCATTATTCATTTAAATTCAATCAGTGCTTGTGATCTGAAAAACTGTCAACACTTGTCTGATACTCTAGTTCCACTATGGAGTAGGGTCGTTGAACATATATGCTTACTCATTAACTGATTATAGATTCCGAACTTACCCAAGACGATGGGTCATATTATTGGTTTGCTGTTTATTGGCATTATCCAATGCCTTTGTTAGTTATGGCAAACACATCTTCTTTCTAATTGATATCTTATAGCAATGGATCAGTTACTCAACTGTACCTCAACAAATCAACAAGTTCTACTGCAATGGAATGATTGATTGTCTGGCTACTTTCTGGTCAAATCAAATATTCCAGGTAAGCATACTCAATGACTTACATCTCAAATTCATTTTACAGGTGGTTGCTATTCTTACTGGCATATTTGGGATGTATGTGTGTGATGTATATGGTATAAAGATTGCGGTATATTCCTGAATCAATCAGAATAATTATTCATTCTGCTTCAGTTGTTCTGCGGCTGTGCTGTGAACTTCCTAGGATCTCTTTTACGCTTGATATCTTCATCACCTGAAATTCCTAACAGTTTCTTGAGACAATTCTGGTTATACTCAGGTGTGAATAAAATAATAGCTGCTAATCTTAAGGATTCAGGATGCTTTTTATCTTCATTGGCTCAAGTTGTGTTTCTTGTACTTCCTGCGAAGATAGCTGAGTGCTGGTTTGCAGATAATGAAAGAGCACTAGCCAATGTATTCACTTTCATTGGTAAGTTCTATCATGAAGTACTGATAATCACAATAATCTAGCTAATCCTTTGGGAACTATATTAGCCAGCTTGACTCCTATGTTGTTCTTCGACTTCTCCGAGGAAGCAACTGACACGTTTAGTACCAACTCCCTCGAAATATTCAACTTTGTATGTTGAAATTCATAATTTTCTGACTTACAGCTTTTAACAGAATATGTTCATATCGTTTTGGGCAGGAATAACGTTTTTTGCTTGGTTTTGCATCAAAAGTAGCTTGCCACCATCTCCTCCAAGTATGGCCGCTCATATAAGAGTATCATCTATCTCATTTAAGGATTCAATCATATTCTGCTTGAAGTATGACTATGCTCGTGCACATAAAAACTTAAAATTCCAGAGATTCCCAATTTCATGTGTTGATGTTTCTATTTGCAATGCTGTTCACACTGTATTGGACGTTCATAGTACTGCTGCCTGATATCATGTCATTGAAAGGTTATAACTCAGCTGGGTAATCATAACTTATTAGAACCAATCTTACTTGAAATTAGTATTAACATGGCCATCTCAGCTACCATCGGAATGATTGCTTCCATTTTTGCTGGAAAATTAGCAGACACAACCAAAATGTTCAAAGAACTTACTCAAGGAATGGCTATATTGTTTTTCCTGACGGCACTGGGAACTCGCCTAGTGGGCTATATCGTTTATTCATTATTTTTTAAAATTTTCAGTTCCTTCTAAAAACTCGTGAAAGCATGTTGGACGATATAGTTCTAATAGTACTCACATCACTACTAGGAGCTCTATCAATTCCCATGTTCCCTATTGGCTCGGAACTAGGCGTTGAAATGACTTATCCTGTTTATGAAGCAACATCTAGCGGACTGCTAGTTCTGAATGGGTTTAATCATTGAATCTTCAAATACATGACCGAATCATTCTAGACAATGCTTAATGCTCATATTTTACGGCCTAACGGAAGTGATCAAACGCATTGATATCTTTTATCATTACGAATCCAATCGCCTTTCAGGCAACTGGCAATGTAAACTCTTACTTCCTCTTTTAGTTTAAAACATTATTTAAGTGGTGCTTGACGCTTGGCTTTTATTGGCAGGAGTAACTGCTATTATTTCTTGGACAGTTTTAAAACCAAAGTAATATCTTGCAATATTTAATATTTATGTTTCTCCATTAGGTATCGTCGGATGGAAGCAGAAAAAAGCAACAAGCAGAAGTTTTTATTAGAAGAGAAGGAACAAATGGGCTTTATTTGAATAAAAACTAATTTGCATTCTTTAAATTTCTGACAAGGAACTTCTTTCATTCCGTTCACGTGATAGGCTGACAGAAACCGCTAAAGTAATTTAATAGAAAATAAGAGTAGAGAAGCAGCTTCAGAACTAACTATTCCCATCAAGTATTGGTTTTACAATTATGATAAAAGTGATCAGAAGATAAATATAACTTTAAAATAATAAAAACAACGAAAAAATAAAAATTAATAAGGACGAAAAAAGAATTTCGGTACGTTTCAGCGTATCTATATATTCATTGTGAAGGTACGCAAATTAGGTAAGGCACTGCGCGCAATCTTGTAATTTTCGTGCATCGTACACTGTCCGCGTGCTACCAGCAATGACTCGCCGTACGGTTTTTACAGGCTGTAAAAGTGCTAATCTCGTTGGAATTATATGTATTTACAACAATTTTTGTAAATTCATATCAGATTCATCCTTTAGCTGTTTCTTTTAACTTTACATTGAAAGCATGATGTCTGTAACTTGTGATTGTATGTTCATCTGAGGACAGTCTTCTGTCGTTTCTAAGAATTCGCAGACTTTTCCGCGCTCACTTTGTAATTGTTTGGTTGTTGAATAGGTGTTAGGAGCGAATTGTAGATTAGTTAGAATAACTGGATTCACATCGATGAAGTTTTCAATGTCCAAGACAAAGATTAGAAATGTTTTCATGTGTGAAGTGAAACAGATTGCTCAATCCTGTTCAACCGTTTCCACTTGATAATCAGCTATGTAGCCGTGTCGATATTGAGATATGTTTCGTTTAGATGGATTATTCTCAGTTTTTCTATACATTTTCCTTTTTTGTTTCCTATTATATCAACGGGAAATTATGTCTTTGGGTTGCTTATTCACGTCGCAGAATCATAGATCTCGATGGGAATTGAAAGAGAGGAGAAACTTCATTTATGAAAATGCTGTGCCATCACTCCCAAGATGACCAGCGAAACTATCTCATCTAACAGGAAATAGGCTTCAGTTGTGTTCATTTCTTTTGTCTCCTGTTCTCTGAATCTGTTGTACACCGAACATCATTGCATGTGCAATCTGCAGAACGGTTCTTTAGTAGTGGACAATTTGTTGTAGAATGCAATGGAATGGATCTGTACAGAAACGAGGAGGTAAATGACTACATTGAGCATCTATCAAGCATTCATAGGAAAAATACATTCCATTCGAATATTGAGTATTAGAATTCTGTTGCTCTTTCCTCTGAAGATGAATTGACTCAGCTAATTCTTGTTTCAAATGATGTGATCTGGATTTTCATTTTCGCAGTATTATTAGAAAACTACGTGTGCCTGGACAACGGAACAGGGATCATTTTGTCTTTCAGCACAGGCAAGAATAATCATGATAAGACTGAGATACCCACTGGCCCACAACGAGAACCATTCAGATGAGATCAAACTCAGAATGATTTCTTTTCTTTTCGTTGTTGTGAGTCTAGTGTCGATTAACTCCAATCAGTTACTCTTTGATGATCATGAAAAGGACTGCCACTCTTTTCTCTCATTCGTAGTTTAGTTTTGTATCGTGATCAGCGTTAATAGGCGGGAAAGTCGTAGTTTCTGTTATTGCTAGTCAGTCGTGTGAGCAAACTGTGCCAGAGGAGGTATGTGTGTGAAAGTATGTCAAAAGTTTATCAATCGTCTTTGTTGTTTTTGAGTGTGAAATGAGCTGTATTTCCTTGTGAGAAGCAAACGACTTTGCTGTTTTGATTCTGTTTCGTTGTAGTTTCAATTTGGAAGACGTGTATTGCTTTTTGTGATTTCTGTTGAGATGTGTAAAAAAACAGTCTTGTTCATGTTGTCAGTGCTAGGTTTTTGTAATTTGCTGTAGTTCTGGGAGAGAGTGTTGATTCGTTCGATATCAATTGAATGGGCTGAATATGGGACTAAAAGATTTATAATTCATTTCTTTATTTGAGAGTTGGACTGGATATCAGTCCTGTGAGCGTTGGTATGAAAGAGTTGTCATGAACAGGTGCACTGTGTATTTGATCATTTTTAAAATGGTGAAATCATGTTACTCTTTGCTATCCTATAGAGAGCTTGAACCGTTAGAGCATTTGATTTTTGGAAAACATGAATGATGAATTAATGGAGTGATTTTCACAAGGGTAACATGAAAACTGCGATGAATTACACATGAAAACAACTGGAAAGGAATAGTTAAGAGTCTGTTTATAAGAAAAAGAAGTTGGGTAAACTCGGGGAAGGGATGGTGGGGATGAGTAGCTTCCGGGGGGAAGCGGGGTGGGTGAATCTGAAACAAGAATAAGAGAGGTCATGCCCATTTTTTTCAAAATAACTTAGTTGAATTTTCAATAAATAATTATGCTTATATTGGAGGCAGTTCTGCGGGCTTCCTCTCAACCTTCGGTTGAGAAGGGGTTAATTTACTTCTCAACCTTCGGTTGAGAAGATCGTATAGCCGGTGG